TACATTTATAGCTAACCTGAGCCGAAGGCTCGAGTGAGCTTTTCTGATCGAAGAGTGTCCGGCGTCCGTCTGTCGTCCGGCGTCTGTAAACTTTTCACGTTTTCAACTTTTTCTCAAGAAAAACCTGCCACAAAGCAGGTTGAAGGAGATTAAAGTTTGTTCACAGGAAGTACCACGCCTTTTTTTCAAATGGAGATAATTAAGAATTCGTAGAAATTTGGTGGCATCTTTAAAAATCTTCTTCTCAAGAACCACTGGGCAAGAGAAGATGAAACTTATGTTAAAGCTTCATTCAAGATTCTAGATTCTTGATTCATGTTTGTTCATATCATAACCGCGGGAGTAGGGCGGGGCCACAAAAGGGGGTCGAAGTTTTACATAGTAATATATAGGAAATGTCTTTACATAGGAATATATAGGAAATGTCTTTTAAAAATCTACTTCTTGATAACAGCAAAGCCATGATTAGTCATATTATGAAAGAAGTATCCTCAAGTAGTCTAGATTCAAGTCTGTTCTAATCATGACCCCTGGGGGCTGGGCATTGCCACAACAGGAAGTTAAAGTTTACCATAGGAATATATAGGAAATGTCTTTAAAAATATTCTTCTCAAGAACAGCTATGCCATTATAACTCATACTAATACAGAAGTATCCTCGGGTAGTGCAGATTTCAATTGTTCAAATCATGACCCCTGGGGGTAGGTCTGGGCCAAAACAGTGGGTCAAAGTTTTACATACATAGGAATATATAGGTGTAATGGTTAAGGGGCATTTGAGTAAAACACATTGAAGACTTCAAATAATGGAATGACCTGACAACCCTTGGAATGGACTAGCAAAACCAAAGGGTATATAATGCAAAGCTTTGGGAAAGTCAGGCATTCAGAAGCTAGCTGAAGAAGTTGGATGTTGAATAATCAACAAAGAAAGTTAAGGTATTCCATCCCTAATAGCAACAGATTCAATGAAACTGAAAACATTATAGATGTGTAGATGTTGAATACTCAGTATATTTAGACATAATTCCCATTCATTACTATTAGCATTTAAGGATGGAATGTGTCATAATTTATGACCTTGACTTTTGTAAGAGTTATCTCCCTCTGCTTTTAATTAATAAAAAAAAATCAATTTTAAAAAAACTTATCCGGTAAAAAAAATCGTTACCAATTGTCATTCTATTTTTTAATGTTTTAATGCATCTTTCCTTCAGTATTTATTGATATTCTTATTATTTGATTTTTTTATTTTTAAAAAATCGCTTGTCCCCATAGACTTAAAAGCAACCTTTGTTAATTAATTACTGCTTAGTAAATTATGTGTATGAAACTTTCTCTTGGTAAATCCTTTTCTACTGTAAAATGCTTTAAACTAATAACAGACAATGATGTTGTGATCGACATTTAAGGATAGAGGATGGAAAACCTTAAGGATAAGAGTAAAATAATAGTATAAAAGTTATAAACACCAGGGGCAAGTATTCTAGGGAATTGATGTTAAGTTCTTGGTGTAGTAAATCTGAAGAAGATTGAAACACCTGGTTCTTTTCTATCAATGGGAACCTATGGGAGAAACACGTTGCTAGAAGTACCTTACCCAGGCCCCGTCTCTAGATAAGAGAAAATTTAAGTAATGTGTCACATACCCTCAGACAGAGCTGTCCTAATAACCATTCCAGTCATTAATTCAGAGAGAGTAAAAGAAAAACCTATATATCCCTTGTAAGATCCTGATCATACACGTTACATAGGAAATATCTTTGAAATCTTTTTCTCAAGAACAACTAAGCCCCAGGGGTTGTGGAATAACAGAGGGTCAATTTTGCTTAAGAGGAGGCAACTATCTTAAAAAAAAATCTTCTGCTCAAGAACAGCAAGGCCATGATTAGTCATATTATTATAGAAGCATCCCCCCTGTTCCCCGTTCTATACTGAACTGATTTCTGCTTCTTCCTAGCCAATGTGCTCAGGTGACAGATGTGGCCCATAGACCTCTTGTTTTTTTTTTTATTTGACTTATAATTTAATCAAACTTGTTACACACACAAGTAGATCGTTTCAATTTATCCATAAACATGGATTTTTTTTTCACTGAATCTGGAAAATTCCTACAGTACGGAAGAAAAAAATATTGTCATTCAGATGTTGTTTTGTTTTATAAGATAGACGTATACATACTGAATTAAGAATCCATGCTGTGCTAGGTTAGAGTCAGAAGCTACTTTCTTTTGTTATCCCTACTTAAAAACAAGGCTACTGAAATGGTCAGAGCTTCGTGTTTCGTTTTCTCTATCTGGATATGAGTAAGTTAGTCTTATAAATAGAAGTTTTTGTGCGAATTACTGGTAAATCTAATATATAAGGGTTTTGTGCCATATTCAAAGATTTAGTCAAAATTGATACGTGATCCAAAAAATACCTGGAATATCTGACTTTTGTTTCCTGGGCGTAAAACGCAAATAAGGAGATGGAAAATAGAGATGTTTTAAAATACTTTAATTAAGAAAAAATAACATATAAATAACATAAACCAAGTTGTAGTGTCAAGAAATGAGGAAATGAATAAAAGATTAACTTATGACGTCAGTTGAGTATTTTAGATGACGTTCGATATTTGTCTTCCTGGCGATGGCCTGCCTGCTCTGAATGTAACCTGTCTCTGAAGATGCCTCATGGCTGCTATAGTACCCAGTGGATTGTTTTGAGCCGTCTGAAGGTTCGGGGTATTCGGGACTCGATTACCTGTAGTCTGTTGTGGAGTGCTTCCAGGTCGTGCCTGGATGGCGGCAAAGTCGGTCTGAAGCCTTTGTAAATCTTGTTGGTTAACTACCATAAGAGGTCTTTGCTGAGCAGCAGAATTTCCAGGGGCCCTTCCTTGGGTAGGAAGTGTGTTTATACGATTTGGTAAACCTTGTGTTGGAAATCTGTTGGCCATAGCTCTACGTCTGAATTCGTTGATACGATTGCCAAATCGACTACGTGCCGGTGAAGTGCTATCAGGCTCACCCAGATTAACCGTTCCTTGTAGTCCTTGCTCTGCTATGAATCTACGAACAGCATCCATGTCCAAGTTTTGTCCCTTGGCACAACCTGGTTCCCAGAGCTCCTACAACATTTACACAGCAGCCTAATCATCTTTTGGAAGATAATTGGTGGTGTCCTGTAATGTGCAATAAGATTTCGGAATTTTCATTTTCACACTTGAGATTAACGTAAATTTGCTGCAGATTTACTGGAAGAGAGCCAGGTCTCATAAGTTGTCTGATCCGTGGATCGAATGGGGTCCCATTTGGTCTATTATTAAGTCTGGCTTGGTTTTCATTTTCGATGAGAGCCCTTAAAAATCGGGGGTCCATGTTCGGATTTCCAGCACCTGGGACAAATTGTAGACGAGGAAGGTCTACCGAAAACGGTTGTTCCATACGTGGATCACGCATGCTCCGTGATTCCAGTTGCTCAATAAACCTGGGATCCAGTGGCTGACGGGTGAGCGGATCTATAAGGGGTTGTGTCCTTTGTGTGGGTAATCTGGGTCCGCCTCTGGGTTGTGGAGTTCTGCCACGATTCGGAATGTTGAGGAATTCTCCATTTGTTCCCATAAAGAGATGTGCACCTTGCTCTCTAGGAACTATGTTAGCTATACATGTACCTCCACTGGGACGAAGACCGGATATAATAGTACAAGTTTCAGTCTCTGTCATTCACAAAATACCGAGGAGCACATTCTTTACAGGAAGGCCTGCAACGAAAAATCAAAGTCCATTTAGTCCCAACCAATCAGATTCTATTTAGCCTTCTCCAATCAAATCCTATATAGTATGGTTTAATTGGATTCTACTTCACCCCGTAACAGAAGGTTGCATTATGTAAAATGTACCTTCAGATCCCACTGCAAAAACAAACTGTTATTTGTACATTTGAGCATTTGTCTGTTTAATGATAAAACTCAAAATTTTATTTGTATATTTATATAATTTTGATTGTACGATTCTAAATTTGTGTTTGAATCTATATACTCTAGAAATTTCTCTGAATGGACTAATTCTCGTTTTGCCGTGCGTTAGTCTAGTGAGCTAATCTCTGCTTCGAAATCCGTATTCGGTATAATAAAACTTAAAAAGTATATCATTGAGGATTAAGCAAGATTCCAATTCCCCTAGACCAGGACTTTTTCTCTCGGCTTCGCCACAGGAAAAAGTCCTTACCTTGCGAAACTGAAATCTGTCTAACTCCCTCAATGATGTACTTAAATTTAGCTGCATGTATAACAGTTTATTAATTTTCATTTAAAACCTGTGAAATTTAGGATCCATCCCTCAAAGCTGCCCTTCTCCATTACTCTTAGGGGGATATCACTGAATTGCGAAAATTGCACTTTTATTGAAGTCACCACAAATCACTGTCTAGACCAGACGGAATTTCTTGCAACTTCCCATTATTGAATTCACAGAGTAATTCTGGTACATTTAATGTATTTTCTGGATATTAGAAGATTTCAGTCTTTAAAGAAAGTTTTACTTTTTTTAATGCAAAATTATAGTCATGTTGTAGATTTTATTTAAGAAATAAAATAGCCATAAAAGAACAGAGCCTTAATACTAAAGCACGTTCTGATCGATCCTCTTTCCTCTTCATCATCCAAAAAGGATCGCGTGGTACGAAAATACTAATTTACCATGTTCCAATTTGTGAATTTGAATTCATTTTTTAAGGACTATACTAAAAACTGCGTTTTCTTGTGGTATTCAAATTATATAACTTAACCTTTATTTCAGTCACACGTGCATAAGATGCAACACACGTGAGATAATTTCTTTTATGTAAAAATGCTAATTAATTGAAATAAATGACAAAGTGTACTTTTTAGTTTCAGAGCAAGCAAGATGTGATTTTTTTTAACACTAAGGCATGAATAGGAAAAAATGCGCCTGTATTCAACCCAGTTTTTTGTTTTGGTTTGGTTTGTTTTTCTTAAGTGCATCAACATTGAAAGGGACAATGCATCAGACATTTTATGTTGGCCCTGGGGATTCTGTTGGAACACCTGTCTGGGCCCCGTTAGGACAAGTATATATATAAATCAAAAGGATTCTGAATAGTAGTGGCATTTAGTTTTTTCTTCAATTTATGGACAAGTGACGAGCCGAGGTTTTTGTCCCAGAATTCCCACTGTGCGTCCATTCGATGTTGGACTTCATTTTAGTTTAAACTTTGATTTGAATTCAATTACTTTCTTTTCCCCACATTATTGATTAATGCTAAAAAATTAAATTGATAAAACACCTATACACGATTTGTACACCTACTCATTTTGTTTATATAATAAAAATACATGTAGATATTTATTTAATTTTTGTTCACTTTAGTCTTAGACTTAGATAATTTGTATTCATTAAATTTTGTAAGAAACTGCGTAAAAGTGCGTCATAAAGAATTGTCATCTAAATGGAAACGGCCTCTATTAAAAATGGAAAGGTCTACTTTTTCTTGATTTAATTTCTTCCAATTTAAATCTCATTGTCTTTACTTTAAAAAAAAAATCTTTTATTTCAACCAAAGACAACATTCACGCTTTTCTGTGTACAAAAATCAGTCATTATGATATTTTACCACGAAAATTGATTTCGACGAATACCCCCCCCCCCCCCCTTTTTCACTTTTAAAATTACTTCTTTATGTTTGTTAAATGGCTAGGATAATGTATTTTCAAAGCTCAGAGAGGGATCTAATCCTCCATTTCCTATGCAAATTGAAGTTAATTGTAGTATTCAGTCACGCAATTATTATATCTGACAAGGCTACTTATATGCATCCCCTAAAGGGCAGACGAACGTAGTGACATATAGCAATATTAATCTGTAAATCTGTCATTTTGTAACATTTTAAGCAAGCGGCAAGCATTTTTGCTCGTGCAACTTTATACTTTTTCATTATGCATTGTCCAGTCCACTGTTAGGTGTTGCATGCAAGTGATTGGGAACATAAATAATATCAAGTAAATTCTCAACATTAATTTTTTTTCCTACTTTTTTATTATTTGACAAAAGGTCCTTCAACTTTTTTTCTCCTCAAAATCACCCAGTTTTCTTATATTAGTAAGTGAATCGTTATTAACAATGATTAATGTTTTGACCCGACACAAAGGCGTCATTTGATGCCACGACAAGGTTATTTATACAGTTGAACTTCGGTATCCCAGGTATTGATATCTCGAATACCATGGATATGTCGAACTGCATTGGAAGTCCCAACGACTTTTTATTCATTTAATCTCAGATTCTCGGATATCTCGAAGTTTTTTCTCAGTCTCATCTGAGTTGAGATCAGATATTTTGGCTGTATTTTTTTTCCATGCATGACATTTCTTAACGAAGCAGACCGGGAGTGGGGGATCACAGTTCAGTAGAGGGAGAAGAAAGAAAGGGAGAATGGAGGAGTTGATGAAGAAAGGGAGAAAAACTTTAATTGATTATTTCACTTTTGTTAAGATTTATAACATAGAGAATAAATAATGATATATACAAAATATAAAGTACATTAAATATAGTTGCTGCATTTACAAACAGAATGATTTGTAATTTTCATTCAGTTTATAAACTTTTCAACTTGTTAACCCCATCTTTCGGGGGGAAGGGGGGGGGGGGCTGAAAGGGATGTACTATTGATTAGTTATGATAATAAACGGATCTAAAGTTGATAAGCCAATGTTCAAATGAATACGTCTAGATTTGGTTTTTGTATTGATTTCCCTATTTTCATAAAGGGATTTTCCGATTGCTTGCTCATAATCTAGGATACTAAATATATAGTAACTTTATTTTCTTTTCCCATAACTAAATTTATGGACTGATTTCTTAATTTCTACCATCTGCACTTTATTACTGACTGACATATTGACAAAAAGATCACAACTTTATTTCAGTATCTAGGCATTTGGTACGAGTTCGAGCGGTTCCCATTGGCGGCCCAAGCAGGGGTCACATGTTCACAAGCAAGTTACACCCGAAACGATGACGGATCAATTCGGGTTGTCAACACAGGAGTTCAAGAAAGGTAAGATGGAAATGGCGATGATTAATTTTATATTATAATCTCGAATTCAATGGTGTCGAAAAAAATTTAAAAAAAAACTTCGAGGTATCCGAATATCCGAGATATCCATGTAAAATACATAATTATCAAAATTGTGATTGAGACTTCCAACTCACCTTGGCATATCCATGGTATTCGAGATAAAATGTTTGAGAATTAAACCGATGTTTAACTGTACACACGTAAAGTCATATAAAACTGGGGAAAAATAGAGAAAAAGAAAGATTATTGAAGTGAATTAATATATGTTGAATTTAAGAACTTCTTTCCTATCCTCCTATCAAGTTTTTGTTGTTGCAGTTGATTGATGCAATGAAATGCACTCAAAACAATACCGCCAGTTCCAGTTATGTCACTAAAACTTAAGTAAATTGGCAGGTATAAATACTTTATTGTATTTTGTCCTCTTTTTTCTTGTTTCTCTTTCTACAATGTTTGTTTGATTAATATCATACTTGTATAGTGTGTGATTACCTTGAGCTTGCTGCAGGGAGAGGGCTAAAATAGGCTTTGTCCGCTGCCCAATCCCATTCACTTTTTTGTGAATAAAAAATAAATAAGTACTGTAGTTATTTTTTTTTCCCAGAATGAATGCCCTTTTAATTTTTTTTTTTTTGTTAAAATATGACCAAAATTACAAAGAAATACATTTAATAGGCAGAGAATTTATTTCCGTCGAAATAGAATTGACGATATTATCCCCAACCTCCCAAAAATTATCCAACAATTAACTTAACACTCTAATGAACATTGTGACATATATAAATACACATGTTTGTACAATACAATGAAGGTTATTTTCAGGGATACATGTAACAATCAGAGCGTAATTAAACAAGAGATCCAACTCTCTGAGTTATAATTACTAACAATTTAAAACAAATTATGACAAGTTGATTCCTATTTGTGACACTGAAAAGCGTTTCCAATTTCAAAACATTTGGATTCGATTGCTAAGATTTTGGTAATAATGTACATACATGTATCTCTAAAATTCATTATAGATGTCAGCAAATACAATTTATCATTGAGTCAAATGCTGACTGACGTTTTTCATACTAATTGTTAGGCCATTATTTACACACTGAATTGTCGGCGGATTTTTCCGTTATTTCCCGATCATGACAAGGAGCACACGGCGGGTGTGACCGATCGGCAGGGGATGCTCACTCCTCCATGGCACCTGATCCCACCTCTGATGTTTGGAGGTCCGTGTTTGCTCTGCTCCTATTTTGTATTGTATAATGGACTTTTGAGCTTGAATACTGTTCGTTATCTCCATATATTTCATACATCTGCACATTTAAATTGATAAGGAAATTAGTCCCCAGTTACATTGCAAGTACATAATTTACAATTTTTTCTGGGGATGTTAAACATATACTGTACATTGTTTCTTACAAAGATTGTCGTTCCTTGAGAACTGCCAGAATAGATGTATATTAATTAGCTCAATACAATGTATTTGACGTTCAATGTCCCCCGCGGGACTGGGCACTATTTAATATCTTGCTGAATGATGTCAACCTTTTCTCTCGTCCTAAAACGGACATTATGAGAGCGCTGAAGACTATAAGCTATTTTCAACCCGCCAATTGGTCCCCCCCTTACATACACACATAACACATTCGCGTGCAATTTATGTTGAATTCAGCGACTAACTTCTTCTTAATTACTTTAATTTATTGGAAAGTTCACAAGATTTAAGGACGGATTAAAAAAAAAAAAAAAAAAAAAAAAAAAAAAAAAAAAAAAAAAAAAAAAACAGCTTTTTTTTTACATAGATGTACGCAATCAAAAACATCTTTCTGAATTTCAAAATTAATGTGAAGAGTTTTCAATCGTTAGATATCAAAGAACAAATGTATGGTGAATTTCACCTTTATCATTTCTATTATCAAATAAAAAAAATCGATCATTTTAAGCGATTCTTTAGTTATAAATTATGGGATTGTGGCATAAGCACATTATGATATTTATATTCTTTTTTAATATTTTAGTACTGGTGAGCCTGTTCGTATAGAAGGTACCCCTAGAGCCGTGAATCCACGAGACCCAGAGAGACTTTCCGTCACATTTTCTCCTTGTAAGTGCACCGCTTTTTTTCTGTTTGATATTGCAACATATCATACTGATCATATGTCTTAATCCAGATAATGATTTAAAAAAAAAGATTTATTAGTTCTAGTAGTATAACTTGAATCATTATAAACCAAACAATTTAAAATGAAAAAGCAAGTTGGAGAGAATGCACTCTACTGATCGACATTCAAATTGAAACTACAGCCAATTTATTACATAGATGTACATGATGTATGTATATAGAGTTGAAGTATTTTACGGTCTTCGGACTATGCACTTCCCCTCTTTTGTGATTGGTAGAAATTTGCATGATATAAAAATTTTCAATTATTTCATTGGTTGAAATGCTGTTCAAGGCAAGGGAGATAATTTTCTGGTGATCTAATTTTCGTACGTCGTAACAAACTTCCGGTTGGGGTTATAAATGAAGAATAAAACCAGAGATACTCGGAAGTCTCTGGGTTTATCCTACCCACTACCGGAAGTTTGTATCCCATCTAAAGTCTTAATTGTATGTATTGTATGTATCGAGGTAATTTTCGAGGAATAAATGAGTGGTTTACAATAAAGACTAGAGACGCCTGAAACGATTTATTTGACAAGAAAAAAGTGTCTAGAAGCGAACGATGTCATTTTAAAGTAGGTTAATAATCAATATATTAACAAAATACGAGCTTGAGGCTTGGGTGCCTGAAATTGTCCCAGTTAGATACCTTGTGGTAATAAATTAGTTAGGGGTGCCCCACGACACAAGTGCATGTGCTAAACATAACAAAACAAAACAAAACAAAAAATCAGTACTCTACATTTTTTATTATCTATATGTATATTTTCAGTCCAGCCTGTTGACCCTAATGGAAATTACTGGGTTGTTAAAACAGATTATATAAACTTCGCCATCGTTTACTCCTGCAGACAGGAAGGACGGAGTAAATCAGGTAAGAAATAAGAGCTCTGAATCGCATCTTCTCGGCCTTTCCCGCGAGGTCGGAAAAAATTACATAACCGGATATTAAGATTTTAAACAAAATGGATTCACTTCCTATTTATCTAAGTACTGGATAGACAACAGTTGAGTGTCCCTTCTGTAGTATATTTTAGGTAATATCTTTACATTCAATGAAGTTAAGCTCCAGACACTACAAATAAGTTTCCCTACATTTATTTCAATGTTTATGAAAAGATTGGTAGTCATGGACCCTACGTAACGGATTCGAGGTTGTTTTTTTAGGTCTACTGGTCAGAGACCAGAAGAGCTTATGCGATAGTAAGGTGTCCGTCGTTCATCCGTCTGTGTAATTATTGTCTGTCTGTGAACAATTTTTCAAAACGCTACTCCTCCTACAGTTTTGGTTTGATTTCAATTTAACTTGGCAAATTAGTAGACTACACGAAGATACATAATTTAGTGCATCGGTTTTTGATTTTCGATGAACTGTGTTGCCATGGTTACTAAAAATAGAAATTTCTGTAAAATTCCTTTAAAACTCTACTTCTCCGACAGTTTTGGTCTGATTTCAATATAACTTGGCACACAAATAGACTAGACTAAGATACATAATTTAGTGCATCGGAGTTTTGGTTACGATGAACAGTGTTGCCATGGTTACTGTGAAATTCCTTTAAAACGCTACTTATGCTACAGTGTTCGTCTGATTTGAATTCATTTTGGCATACAAGTAGACAACACTAAGATACATAATTCAGTGCATCGGTATTTGATTTCGATGAACGGTGTTGCCATGGTTACTGGTTACTAAAAATAGAAATATCTGTGAAATTCCTTAAAAACGCAATTGCTCCTACAGTTGTAGTCTGATTTTAATATAACTTGGCACACAAGTAGACTGCACTAAGATTTATAACAGATGAATTGGTTTTTGACTTTGATGAATAGTTTTGCCATGGTTACTAAAAATAGAAATTTCTGTAAAATTCTTTTAAAACATTACTCCTGCTACAATTTTGGTCTGATTTCAATCTAATTTGGCAAACTATTAGACTACACTACAATACATGAAAGTGTATATTGGTTTTTGATTTCAGTGAATGGTGTTGTCATGGTTACTTAAAATAGAAATTTCTGTGAAATACTTTCAAAATGCTACTCCTCCTACAGTTTTTGTTTGATTTCAATATAACTTGGCACACAAGTAGACTATATTAAGATATATAATACTATTTATTGCTGCATGTTGCAAAGTTTCAAATCTAAGTGCTACTTCTCCTTTGTTATATGTACAGACCAGTAGAGCTACAGTCTCATCAGAGACTTCTGGTAAGCTTGTAGGAAAGGCCCGAGCAGTTGCAATTGTCGAGCTCTATCTTTGTTGTTCTGTGCACTCACCAAATATGTACCTTTTATGACGTTAACAGTAGACAAATAACTAAGCTTCTACTATTGTTGACACTATATTTTAAGATGTATTTATGAGGGAAATATCACAGCCATACTAACACATTTCACAGAAATCTTTCTGGTAAAAGTAGGAAAGAACACATAAATACAGAAATCCCGGACATTAAATTTCTTTTAAAGACAAGAAATATGGAACTGAAGTCCTGTTAGATTTTATAGAAGCAAGGTAAATGAGGTAGTATACATGTTTTCATGAATTAAAGTTCATGTTTTATGCAATGTATTTTCATAGGTTTAAATTAATAAATTTGAAATATCGGAATATCGCATGAGACTAATTATCAGTATTACGGAGGTGGACTTAGTGTGTTGATAGTGTAACCTAATTAGCATTCAACAGTTGTATGAAAACCCAAAATATCCCTTATAATTCATAAAAATCCGGAAAATAGGATAGCTTGGGTCGGATTTCTCTGTCTCAAAATCTTTAGCAAGATCCACTAATTTATCATGATTCAGATTACATTGACTTGATATCAACAGCTTTTTATTTATTTATTTAATTTTTATTTATTCATTTATTTATTTATTTTATTATTATTATTTTTTTTTTTTTACAGAAAATGCCTACATCCTACTACGAGAGCCGAGAAATCCCAATGTTAGAGCGTTGAGGTTAATCTACAATTTTCTCAGATGTTATCGAATAAACCCAAGAAACTTCATCCGAACAGATTTCCGTCAGTGTCTGCTGCCTTATCCTTATATGCACTAATGCGACAATAAATTACCGTCACGTTATGCAGCATTTTTCTGCGGTTGTTCTTTTCTTAAAAAACAATATTTATAAAAAAGGTTTTGGAAATTTTGGAAAAAGGTTTTGAAATTTGCTTGAATTTTTAAAAAAAAAAAGGGAAAATCTCCAAAAAAATAATTCATTTCTTGATGTACTGTATTATTGCAGTGTGAACGATATTACAGAAATTGCAAAGGCGAAAATTTAACTGCCAAATTTGAGCAATCAAATCTTAAAAACGATGTTACAGAAAAAGCAAAGGCGAACCGCATATATCTCTTACAATGGCCAGTGTAACGATGTATATCTCTTTTATGTTGCATGTATTCATTGTATTAAAATTGCTTTATTTAACATGTATATGTACATGTTAATTAATATTTTGCTCAAGCTGAGACTCAATAAAAAATATTTTATAACGTGTAATTTACGAAACTTTTTTAGGACTTCAAAAGAAGTTATATTTAAATGAATAACATTTTCTTTTAATTATTTACGTTACACTGAGATTAAAAACAAAAGAAATTGAAATTTTAAAACTATTGATGATAAAGGTTTAACTGCGAAGCGGTTTATAAAAAAGCGTAAACTGTTCCAACCCAGTTCATACCGTATAAATTGGGTAGCTATTCAATTCATTCCTTCCCATACAAAAAAATACTATTAGAATTCAATCGGAGTATTCAGTTAACGGTTCGTTGAAATCAATTGACCATAAGTTGAATTTTTGTCATGCAAATGAGGGAGCGTTCAACTCATTTGCATATAGTTGACCACTGTTGAATGCTCCTATATATTCTTTGCAGTTGACCACTGTTGAATACTCCTCTATTTTGTTTGCAGTTGACCATTAGTTGAATACTCCTCTATTTTCTGTGCAGTTGACCACTGTTGAATACTCTTCTTTTTTCTGTTCAGTTGACCACTGTTGAAAGCTCCTATATTTTCTGTTCAGTTGACCACTATTGAATACTCCTCTATTTTCTTTGCAGTTGACCACTGTTGAATACTCCTCTATTTTCTTTGCAGTCGACCTTTGTTGAATACTCCATTTGTCAGTGCATGTAAAGTTTCAAAAAAAAAAAAAAATGAGGAAGTTTTGAAAACCTAAGGCAAACAGTGTGTTTGGAAAAAATGTCATGTCTCTGAGTAGGAAAAGTAAATACAATGGGGCTACTAAAATGATATACATCTATATACATGTATTTATAACATTTTCAACAGTGAAATGCTGTGATTTATTTATTGAATAAAAGTGATATTCTCTCACAGTGTGAAAGAATACCAAAAATGATATTCTCTCACAGTGTGAAAGGATATCAAAGTAAGTAAAAAATAATTTCTGGCCTGTCATAAGATAGAGATAGTAACTAAGTATCTTGATAGAGCTAAAACTGCAAATTTCTTCCTAATATATGTTGCTAAAATCCATGCTGTGTAATGTTTTCAGTCTGACACACAACTTCTAAGCTATGACGTCTCAACCGCTCAACTATGACGTCAAGCCTATGACTCTGTGTTAAGAAAAGACAGAGGCAAAGGGAAAATCAAAGAAAATGTAATAAACAGAAAATTCAATGTTTTGTAGATGAATATGGAATTTATTTCACGCGTGAGACAGGCTTTTTTGATATTTTCACTCGTGCTTCGCACTCGTGAAAATATCAAAAAATCCTGTCCCACTCGATCGTGAAATAAATTCCATATTCATCTACAAAACATTGAATATCCTCTATGTATATAAATGTATAAAACAAAGTTAGCTGGCACACACTCACAAGTTGCTATGCCTCAAAAATTAGATTGTCTAATTAAAGCAATGGCATATTTTTACCAACAACACAACAAGAAACCCAACAAAACACTTGATGCATGACAATTAAAGTTATCTTTAATATTTTAACAAGTACACAATAGTGGGGACATATACTAGCTACAGTATTATGTCTTTCTAATATCTTTTAGAAAAAAATATAAAGAAAGAAAACCCTTTAAATTTTATACTTACATGGATTGTACAAGCTGAATCATTCATGAAAACAATTGTTTCAATTCAAAATTCTCCACTTTCTGACAAAACACACACTGACACACGTTACTTGATTCAAATCTAGATTTTTGGTAAGAATTATGGAATTGCAAACTCGATCTATAATAATGTCATTTTAAACCCAACATAAATAGAGTCAGAGGGATATTCTAACACTGAGTGGTCAACTATAGTTAACTCTGCAAGATTTCGCAAAGTCGAAGTGTTCAACAATGGTCAACTCTTTTCTCGCATGAAATTTTCAAAGTATTTGCATTCAACTAATGGCCAACTCGGTGAAAAACAGTCAATTGACGGTCAACTGACCATTTTATAATACAAAACAGTTGACAGCTTTTCAGAAGAGCATTCAACTCCTAGTGGTCAATTGTTTTGGATTATTCAGTTGACAACTATTTGACTGCTAGTTGACGGTCAACTAGACATTTTCGTATGGGTTATAATTTATAATTCATTCATTTATACGAAATAAAGTACATTTTTTTTATCCAATCAAATACCGCGTTATAACCAGAATTAAATTATTAAACTGTTAAAAAAAAGTATTTATTCAACAACTAGACTGCACGCGTTGGAGAAAACTCGTTCACGTAAATGTCCTGATCATTGATTTGCGCAAATTATGCCTTGCGAAGAAGCTCCTTTTGTTTTCACGCTAAAATAAAACTTGAAAATAAAATTATTTAACAGTAATCACTATAATCAAAATAATTTACCTGCTAGATGTCCAAGAGTAAAGATTTTTTTTGAAGATATAATGAATTTTTAATATATGACCTGGATCGTGTCTGAACCCAGGGGCCACGAATTTCACATTTGTTTTGGTAGAAGGCTTATTCCTTATCATTTCATGTAATCATGCCAGCAGTTTGACTGCTGGATGTCGAGAAGTAAAGAAGATATATGAGGATTGTATCAAACTTGATGGTCCTGGCCACACTCAGCGAAGCACAGAGAGGTAGCGACAATGAAAATAGTTTTTTTTATTCACCTTACCCATTTATGCTACATGTACATACCAAAATTGTTTGAAATTGCTTTGTCCCTTCCTGAGATTAAGCTGGAGATATTTAACACTTTATGACCAACGGAGGACTAACGACAAGGGTAGAAAAAAGTAGATTGATTGGTTGTATGTTGTTTTACGTCGAGAATTTTTCACTCATATAGAGACGTCACCATTTTAGACCTTTACTCGGCACTCAGGGCCTTTGAGCAGTGAGGGTTCTTTATCGTGCAAACGCCTACCGTTACACAGGGCCTCGGTTTTTAAGGTCCCGCAACTTTCACTACAAAGTACCGAGCGCATGAAGAAGGAACAGTTGTTACCTAAATTTTATCGACTTAGGTCAGTCGCGGCCGTGATGAAAACAAATAGAAAGAGTTCACCTGAGTGACTTAGGTGACTTAAGTCATTAAAAATCCGAGAAAATCTCCCAAGTTTAGCTTAGTTGTTTAAAAATGCCACGCGATGTCTATAAATTTTGTTCTTACTTAAAGTAATTGACTAAGAAAGTGAGTGAGCATCATGTGAAAATGAAAGAAAAAAATGATGTAAGGACATAACACAAGATTGTGGTTTTACAGAATTCCACGTAAAAAAACGATGGTGATTAAAATACGTATGAAATGTTTGATGAATTTATTTTCAAGCATTTGATTGTAGATGTCTGGTGTAGAAGACGTCTTAAATATCTCTGAGAAAACAGTGGAAGAATTTTCTAGCTATACAGTAGCAACTAGTCCCAACCTGACAGAAAGCAGTCCCAGAGCGGTCTCAGTGACTGCTTTCTGGGACTGCCTCAGCAGTCCCACATGGAGCAAAGACCAACTATACCATAAAAATACACTTTTATGACACAGCATTCGCATCTTTCTGAGAAATACTTGAAGTCCATTTAGTCAAGGGTCATACCACAAAGATGATTCGAATGCCACTAATCACCAGGACTTGTGTAGTGTAGTGGGTAGTGTGCTAGTCTTAAAGGAAACTGATATTCAGGATTTTTATTGCAAGAGTTCGAACCCCAATACCACATTATCTTTTTTAAATAAGAGAATGAATTTTGCTGAGAAAATTTTCCTCAGAAAAGTTTTATCATAATTTCATAAATTTCCATAATGAAAACGTTACTCTAAATACTAAATTCACAAATTGCGTATGATTTTTATAAATCTGAAGCTATAGGCATTCTACAAGTCTCGTTCACCCATCTCCTTTATCGCAAATATGTGGTATATTTATTTTTGTATATTAATTTTAAACCAAATTAAATCGATTTGTTTATTTCCTGTGATTGATATTGGTTTCTGTATTCATGTGTTTATAGAAAAAGAAGAATATTGACCGACTGATTTTTTTCTGCCAGAATTAGCTAGAATTATATATTACGATTATCGAGCAAGGCCGATTCCGATAATTCTGTGCGTGAGTTTTTCATTGGTGTTGGAGCTTGTGAAATATTCTTTATTAAATTTTGCCGACTGATATATTCTGTTTATGATTACTTTCACTGACTTTCGGATTGAAATGTCTTATTCTATAAACGTTTCCACGTACATATGTAAATCGCGCGAGTGAATACCCCAGATTATGTGCAAAATTAAATGTTTACATTCACTAGATATTATCTCCTTTATTTCTTATAAAAACCATGGTTGTTAATCAGTCAGTAAACACTAAGCAAACCGCTGATATCGATTTCTTGAGCAGTGGCTGTTCCATCAAACAAACACAGAATGATGTAAATTTCAATTATCGAATATTTAACGTACTTAATCCTTCTTTATATGATTATTTATACAGATATAAATATAAACAATGAAATGCCTTTCTTTTTTTTATTAGTACGGGAATTGTATTTTTTCTGCAACAGCTGCAACATTAATATCCGTGCTAACGACCAAAGAAAGCATTTTATTGTTTAAA